CGTGCTGGAGAGGGTAGTTGCAACCTTTTTCTCCTCACTCTCGTTACCCCAAGGGGGGGGGCGCGGGCGGGGAAAGAAAGGTCAAGACCGGTGGAGGAAGAATGGGGATTTCGCCAAGAAGGAGGACTTGCTTCATCAGATGAAGTGGCCCAAGACCAGGCGAAAGGTATTGAGTACAAAGCACGCGCTTGAGGGCGTACTACTCCTTCGTGTATGAAAAATCAAATCGTTTCTCCTCATTCCGACGTTTTAGGAGCGGGGGTTTGGTCGGTGTTGAGCGGAGGAGGGGGTGGGAGGCGTCCCCTCAGGTGCGCTATGCTACCAAGGCCTTTGACCAACCTATTGCGACTGCTGTTGAGAGGACTGTAGACCGGCCGGTTCCGCGTCGGCGGTAATTTTAGTTGCATACTCCGTCTTGAGGAGTGAACACATCAGTTGTTTTCGACGTTCGGATGTTGAGGAGGAAAGGCAGATTCTGGAGGCACAGAGTCGGGGTGCGCAACAGTGTTGCGCCCATGCTCTGTGGCGTTTTTTTTTCGTGCAGCTGCTGATATCTACATGTTGTCTACGTTTTCAGTTTCTGTCTCCTGTATTGTTTTTTTCTGATGCGTATAGGGTCTCTCGACGATCATCGTTCCCCAAGACTGTTTTGTCCTAAGCGTTCCCAAGTCCTAGTGATGCTTCTGTCGCAGACGGACCCGTAGAAGGAATGAAACCAGGTCATGCTGGCTGTTTTACTCTTGACGTGCGCTCACCGTTGCTCGTGTACTGTGTCCGTGAGTCTATTGGTACTCCTGATTGTATTGACGTATTTTACTTTTGTGCGCCTCCAAGTTCGTTTTTATCGATTTTGGTGTTGCTGGTTTTCAGTTTTTCAGTGAGTGTCTAACCCTTGTGCCGTGTTTCTTTGATTTTTTGTCATGCCTTGCCGATCTGCAGGCGTTGATTGCCATGTGGGAGTCAGATATGGTTCTCAAGCGCGAGGAGTATTTCGCCCTGCTCACAGCGTCTTGCCAGGTAAGCTTAAAGTGTGATGAGTGTATTGCACAGAAGCGCACCGACGCGCCATGTTTGCGTCCCTTCCAAGAGTGTCGCCGAGATATTTCGAGAACCCCCGTGTTCTTCTTAACATCTTAGCCTGAAGGAAGCGAGTAAACTACACCGCAAGAGGGACTAAATGTTTTTGATGCGCAGCAGCGTCGGAGATACACAGGGGGGGGGGGGAACTAACCTGATAACCTGTCCAGATCGATAAGACATGCAGTTTTTGTAGCTGCACGGTTAGGCCCTGTGTCCTCAACGTTACACGTCCAAGAGATGTTTGCGATCGACCGCCTGGGGTGTCTGCAAGTACCAACACCATTTTAGTTCGATTGTGTTCTGCTGCACGTGAAAAGCTCGCTACCAAATTACGAAACGACTGGTCCCAAAAGGGCGAAGAAGCCTCCAAAAGCGTGGGTGGTAGTTTTTGTTCTTTCCCCTGTCCTCTGTGTGGTCTTGTTGTTGTTGTGCTGCTGCTCCTGCTGCTGACGGCGGTGTTGGTATTGTCATGCGCTGCTGCTGGTATATCGATACAGCTCGGCTGGGCGGCAATGGCAAGCATGATCATGGAGGAGATGCTCGCCAGCGGGGTGCCGGTCACCACTGCCACCTACGATGCTGCCATCAAGGTCAGAATTTCCGCCGCATGGCCGTTTTTTTTTTTTTGTCATTTGGTTGCTTTTTCTACGGTTGCTGTTGGCACCATCATTGACACTTGCAATGGCTGCTTCTTCCTTTGATACCGTTTGACGCTCGCCCATCCACCTTTCCCCCTCCCCCGCGCCTGTTTTTTTACAAACCCATCATTCTCTGCCCTCCCCGCCCCCCTTCCCAAATCCCAATCTCGACAGGCCGCTTGCAAGGCGAACAAGGACCGGCTAGCGTTGCTGCTCATCGTTGACCAGTACGCGAGGTAGGTAGGTCTCCACAGCAGTCGTGTGGCGGGAAGAACTACAAGAGGATGGGAGGTTTTGGTAGAAGAAAGCGTTTTTTTTTCCTCTAGTCTGCGACGGCGAAAGCTGAAGCTGCGCCGTTCGAAGGAATCAGCGCGAAGGGTCAAACCTGCTCTTTACTTTGCGTGGTGGTGTTTTCAGCAGAGATGGAGCTTGGGATGTGGACTATTCACATGGTTGTTGTATCCATGGTGTTTGGAGAGGAGTTTCGGGGAGAGGTTTGCGTCTACAGCAGTGGTTAGAGAGGATATATCGCTGGGTTCGGCTACGCTCCTCCTATTGATTTGAGTGTGTGGCGGAGTTGCAGACCTTGACAACAACAATTGTGCGTGGAAAATGGTGCAACGAATGCATGAGCACTTTTGTAAGTTCTCTGTTCTTCTCGGAACATGATCTGCGCTTCGATGCCTGTGAGTCCGTCTTTTGACCCCGACGCAAGCCATTGAAGACCACCACCCCTGAGGTTCCCTTCCAACTCGGCTCGCCGTGTGACCCGGTACCAGGTGGCAGGCTGAAAAGCAAGGAGATAAGGAGGCGTTGCCGGCGGCGGGGACAGGGCAGGGAAGTAAGGCCACGTCTGCCGCGGGAAAGGGCACTGGGGGTGTAGGTGGGGGTGGGGGTGGTAAGGTGCTATCCAAGTCCTACTTCCGGACGAACTTGTCCAAGGTGTTGCAGGTCACGAGTCGGACAGGCGACGTCGAGGGGTCGCTGGACGTCTTGAAGTACATGGGGGCCATGGGGGTGAGAACGAGAATTGTAGGCGTAAGGAACGCGCCACCGCTTGGTAACCTTTTGTTTTGCGCAAACCTAGCTCGTTTGTTTGATCGGTGGGCAATCCAACAGGGAATACGTAGGAATTTTTACAACCTCTATAACTGTAGGTAGGGTTCAAAGTTGGTGTATTTCGTGAACACCGGACCCTCAATCTCTCAACGTTACCAATTTCTTAAGTGGGGGGCGTTTGGTAGTGTGGTGACGAGCACGATAGCCCTGCTGTGAATGCTGCGGTACATGACATCGCCATAGTGTCTATGCTTATGTGTACGATTGGTGTGAAACGCGCCATTGCGATTTTGCGGCTGCGAGCGCTTGCTCCCCTGCTTTTGTCGGCCTCTGCGTGGATTCGGAAGCCTGTTGTGTTTCGGCCGAATTAGGCAGAGTCAGGTCTTCTCCCCCCCCACCTCTTGTCTGTTGTCCACCGGCCTCGGGAGAGATCGGACTTGTTTCGACCTAACCGTATCACTGACATGCTCGTTTTCTGTCAAACATCCACCACGTTTTAGCCGTCGAGAACAGGCGGGGCGCGACAGATCGAAACAAGTCTACACAGAAGCTACGGGGTGGCTCTTCGTGCCAATAACAACGTGTGTTCATATTTCCAGTCAACAGGGAACGATGCTCCTTGCTCGCACAGAACGAACGAATGTTTTCCTGCCTTCTGTCCGTCTATCGTCCTTTCCGTCGCAGATCCCCGCCAATCCAGGGGTGTGTCACCTCCTTCTCGCCACGGCGTGCAAGGCGGGGAGGGGACACTCCGCCCGCGTCCCCGGGATCTTGCGGGCGATGGGCGACTGCGGCCTGAGGCCTGACATGGCGCTGCTGGACGCGCTTGAGATGCTCCTCGATGCCGGCAGGTGTGGGTTTTTGCTGGAAGCAAGCAGCATGCGCAATACGCGTACAAACATGCTCCGAATGAAGTACCTCGCGCACATCAGCTAGTGTGAGGAGGATGGTTCTTCAATGTAGCGGAACAACGCCGGGTTGAGGCGGTGGCGAAGGAGGCGTTGATGCCGTCTGTAGTCGGCGATTCCGCCATTCAGAGTTACAGCGATGAGTGACGCTAGAGTGGAAAACGCTGCCAGACCGTTGGCCGCCTCATATATCTGCCATTATGCGTTTCCCCCAGGCCTTGAGTTCTTCGCATTAGATTGAGCTAGCCTCTTAACCCCCTTACCACGCAAGTATGAAAACCGTACCCAATTCGGCAGTACCGTGCCGCAGATTCGTTTGCTTACTTCCCCTCCGATTTTCTTCTCGAGTTACTCGAATTTTCTCGCCATGCGCTGTCACTGTTACTGTTCACACGTGTAGTTTTATGCTGTATTCACCCATTTCTCTGTTGATGTTTCGTGCACTTCATCACGTACCAGCTTGTTTTTCACCCTCGTACATATATCTGTTTGCTTGTTCATCCTTTTTTCTTACTTCAGCCCCGAAGTGGCGCTAGACTTGCTGGTGGAAGTGGCGGACATCGGGAGGGAAAAGAAGGGCATCGGGAAATTTTGGCGCTTCGACACCAACGTTAGCGCCGCCGAGGCTTACTTGTTCGTCCTCAAGTGGGCTGAGAAAGTGCGTGTGCGATAAAATGATCGTCTACTGTGGGACAGAGTTCATGACTCTTCGATCTTGTGTATCACCGGTGGCAGCCTTCAACCAGATATGTAGATTCCACACTGTTCACGTCTGTTCCATCTCCAACTGTCCTCCAATCATCTGGTTTCGAGTCTTGTCTCCGCCGAGATTTTCAGCCATCCCGGGATCCCTGATTATACATTGCTTTTTTTTCTGCGTGTTGTCCTAATCGGCGGGGTGCCCGTGTACTGCAGGCGGGAAGGCCAGACATTGTCGGGAGTAGCATCCATGCGATTCTACGAGATCTGCCCCAGTCCTTGTACTACAACCGGGGGTCGGAGGGCGAGGAGGTCAGCGCTGCTACGGCCGCCGCTGCGCCCGTTTCGGCCACTGGCGGCAAGGGCGATGCCGATACTCCGGCGGCCGGGACCGCTTCTAGTGCCACCGCCGCCAGCGACGTTGTAGAGGGGCTGCCACCGACTGGTGTTAGTGCAGGCGATGACGACCCTGATCCTTTGACTAACGATGACGAAGAGGAGGAGGAGGAGGAGGAGGAAGAAGAAGAAGAAGAAGAAGAAGAAGAAGAGGAAGAAGAAGAAGAAGAAGAAGAAGAAGAAGAAGAAGAAGAAGAAGAAGAAGAAGAAGAAGAAGAAGAGGAAGAGGAGGAAGAAGAAGAGGAGGAGGAGGAAGAAGAAGAGGAAGAAGGAGAAGAAGAAGAGGAAGAAGAGGAAGAAGAAGAGGAGGAGGAGGAAGATGACGCTCTTGACTTGGATGCTGGTAGCGTGACACGAAGCAGCGCCGGCGGCGGTGGCGAGGATGCGGCCGGCGGTGGCGCTGGGGGCGGTGTCCTGGGGAGCGGATCGGCGAGTAAGCTGTCATCCGCGGTGTCTGGCGCGTTAACGGGAGCGAGGGGTGGGAAGGGAACGGAGGAGAGCAGTGGCGGCGAACAGGGGCAGGGGGGCGCAGGGGCTCAGCAGCAGCAGCAGCAGCAGCAGCAGGAGCAGCAGACGCAGGACAGGAACAAGGGCAAGAACAAGCAGTGGGCGAGGTTGGGGCAAAAGGAACTGAATCGCCAGAGGAGGAACGAGGCCATATACGTGAGTCGTGAGGGGGGACATCAGACGGGAGGGCAGGGGGGGGCGATAGTTTAGGTCTGTTGTTTTCTGTGTAAGAAAGGCCAAGGTGTTTCGTTTGCGCATCCCGGCGGTGCCGTTGTCGCTGACGAGAGCTGGCGGGCCGGCGTGAGAATCACGACAATCACAGACCTATCCCTCGATCCCGCGGACTGTGATTGGTGGTGGTTGTTGTCTGTGTTGATGTTGTTGTTGTTGTTGGTTTTGGTGTTGGTTTTGGTTTCGTTGCTGGTGTTATTGGTCTTGTTTTTTGGGGGGGTCGGTACTGGTTTTGGTGGTGTTGATTTTGGTGTTGAGTAACACCGAAACCAACAACACCACCAGCAACAACATAAACCAACATCAACCACAACGACAGTGCTAGCAGTAACAACAAGACCAACAACATCACAGCGACAGCATCGCAACAAGAGGTATAGTACACGCGGTCAATAGGTATAGATATCAGGCAAAGAGGTACGTAGAAGCATATAGTGCGTTTGCTCTACGTGAGCGATAAGAGTGCTGCAATGGAACGACCCTCGTGGTGATCCGAAAATGCGTCAACCCCTCAATGCTACCTATGCCTACGCAATCCGCTCTGGCGAGGTCCCCAGCGAGTCTGTCAACTCCTTCGAACGTGTGCAGTAGAGAGAAGTTTGGTGCTTAGAGCTGCGAAACGGGCCTTGAATCAACAGCTCTTTTCACTTTTCAAAGCACGGCCTTGCCAGGTTCGGACCGAAACCAGGGCGTATCAAGTACCTGCGTGTGTAGAACTGGCATGCTTGAGGTCTCCTGCTGGTTCACAGCACGAAGCCCTCTCTGTGGGGAGCACCAGCGGTGACAAAGATGTTGGTCAGATGGTATCACAGGGCAACAAATCTTGGGGGCGCACACGGAGTTTCGCCTAGCCCCTTTGTCGTATTTTCTTTTTGTGGGAACTGCAAGTCGGGTTGTTGAGACCTTCAGTGCGTTTGGGGGAGAGCCGCAAGCCGGGTGTGAAGGTCTTAAGCGGCACGCATCTCGCCCCCCCCCCCCCCCCCCCCCCCCTTTTTTTTCCCCCCCAATCCCCCTAAAAAATCTTTTAAAAAAAAAAAAAAATTTTCCCCCCCCCCAACCCTTTTTTTCCCAACCCCCCCAATTTTCT